GGTCTGTGACCCCACAAGCTGTCATAGGCGAGAATATGGAATTTGACTCCCGACCACATTTAAAAGCATCAAATCAATCAATTTCACATAGCTCTATGCTCTTAGGATGTAACTTGCATAAGGTGCTATGGAATTGAACACAATCGCCTCTGCCATGGGAGGTCTGTCCGATGTAGTTAAAGGTTTAATCTTCTTCGAATACTACGGAGCCAGTGACGTGCCTACAATGAGTCATGCCTTTGGGCTATGCTCTCAACCGCTAGGATATGATTTCATATCCTCGTAGTGAAGATGGTGGACGCGACGTTTCGATTTAACCGTCTCAAAAAGATGGTGTTTGCATAACATTTTTCTTAACGCTATGTAGCCCGTTGTAGGAAAATAACATAACAATATTTATGAGAAGATTACTAGATCAACAATACTACCAACTAAGCTCATGTTTGGTGGGGATTAAAACCAAATTTTGTTAAATTTTGATAAAAGTTGATGAAATGTTTTGTTGAAAATTTGAAATTTTAATCAGTATCAAACATGGACTAAAAGTAAGAGGTTAGATATTGGAATTTGGAAGTGACTTAAATGTCTAGTAGTAACTCTAAAATAATAATCATCAAAAGTTGGGGACTCGATGAGCTCAATCAAGTACTTATCTTAAGTAATTAAAGAAATGGTCGAGTTGAACACATCTTTAAGGAAAAAAGAAGAAAGATGGTGCCGAATTATGATTTTAACCATGTTAAATTAGTATGCAGTACAACAAGAAAATAATTTTAACGAACAAGTTAATCGTGATCCCTTATAAGCGAACTAGCTTAAAAACTTCTCAAAAAAGAAAAGAATTATTCTGAATGTACATTTACGTTTACATTAAGGATGACATTCCCCCTATGTGTCAAAATATGGCCAGTTATATGAAAGGGTGTTGAAAAAACCAAAAGTTATGATGAATGCCATGTGACAAAATGTCAAATTAACGTAAAAAATAATGTACGTGTAGCATGTTTGGAAATAATTATCCCTTGGGAAGAATTCATAACTAAGATGGTTACTTTATACCCTTTCAAAAATAAGAAAACAAGTTTCAAATTTTTAAAATCAGATTTTTTTTTATTGTTATTTATGTAATAATAAATTATTAAATTAATTTATTAAATATTTAATTTTAATATAATATAATTAACACATCCTATCTTCATCGCCAATACAGCTCCGCAGACTATTCCGGCCGTCATTCTATTCCGACGACTTTCCGGTGACTTCCGGCGAAATTTCCGACGAACTTTCCGACGACAATTAATGGTCACAGATACATAATTAATTGGTCACAGATTATTTTTGAGGTCACAAATCAAAATTTTTATAAATCACGAATTATTTTAAGGTCTCAAATCAAAAATTTGATACGTCACGAATTATTTTGAGGTCACGGTTCAAAATTTTTATAAGTCACAATTTATTTATCGATCATAGATCAAAATTTTATAAATCACAATTTGTTTATCGATCACAGATCAAAATTTCGAAGTCACAAATCAATAATTTTATAGGTCACAGTTCAAAAAATTACAGGTCACAGTTATTTATCAGTCACATATTTTCAAATTTATTGGCCACAGATTAATTTTTTGTCACAAATCGTCAAATTTTAATGTCACGGGACTAACTACGATTTTTTTTACCACCACCTCACCACAGCCACCTGCTGCATCGCCGCCGCTGCCACAACTACCACTAACACCATTACCGTTGACTGCCACCTATATCACCACTGTCTCACGAACAAAAAAACCCCAAAAACCACCGTACTGCCGGCTCGCCACCCCACCATCTCCACCGCCACCCCAACCACCATTTCTACCCAACACCTATTCACTGTTAATAAAAAACCATCAAAGTACCAACACTTTACCCTCACCGCCGCCGCCACCAACAACCGCTGCCGTAGTCGCCCAAAAAATACCAACAAAACAGATCCACAAATGCCATCACCACAACGCCATCACCAGAACACCGATGCAACCCCACTCATCATCGAAAACCACAAAAATCCCACTCAACGCCCCTCTCAGATCAAAAACCAGAACACTGTTCATTGCGAAGCAATCAGGCGCCACTGCGAAGCACAACTCATCACGAAGCAGCCAGGCACCACCGCGACGCAACCAATCTCCACTTGTTTGCAGAACTTGTAGTTGCCGCGCCGGCGAGAAAACAAGAGAGAGAGTCCGGTGGTAATGGTGGCGAGAGAGGAAAGCAGCGAGAGAGGGTAGAGGTAGAGAGAGAAAGGGTTTCCTCAGGGGGAAGAGGGAAATGACAATGGGGTTGATTTATAAATTAATTTAATTAATAATATATTTATCTAATAATAATATATTACTTAATAAATATCTGATTTTTGAATTAATAAAACTTAGATCTGATTTTGGAAGTTGGATCTTGAAACATAGGGTTAGGTGTAGTGGAAATTAATAATACGTGATCATGAAATTACGTGTGACCTAAAAAAAATTGATAATTACGT